GTGAAGATTTCAAGTCGCTACTTGCATTAGTTTGAAAGATGTGAATTTTTAAATGCGAAACCGCAGTTGACTGAAGACGTGAAATTTGAGACCCACATTTTCTAAGCTTTCAAAAATTAACGTTCGGTGCGATTTTTGTGAAATTTCCCGCATATTTAGGATCATGTTTGAGCTAAAGATGGTAAAATTTACAAGTCTCTGCTTGCTTTAGTTTAGCAGATGTGTATTTTTAACGAGAAAGGGCAGTTGGGTAAAACCATTCATTGTTGTTTTAAACATCCATTGATATGTGTTAAGCTGGAAAAAATCAGGAATTTGGGCAATTGATATGAAACTTGCCGCGTCCTTCCGAGCGAAGTCTTGTGTAAATCTGGTACAAATTTCAAGTCGGTACTTGCAGTGGTTGGGATGATGCGAATTTTTAAGTGCGACACCGCAGTTGAATAAAGACGTGAAACTAGCGACTCGGACTTACTAAGCTCACAAAAATCAAGGCTTTTTACTATTTTTATGAAATTCCTAGCATCTTTAGCAAACCGTGTGGTCTAAAGATGGTGAAATTTGCAAGTCGTTACACGCTGTAGTTGAGAAGGTGTGCATTTTTAAAAGAGAAAGCGCATTTGAGTAAAAACACCCATTTTGGAACCGATGTTTGTTGAGCAGGCAAAAATCAGGAATTTGTACGATTTATATGAAACTTGCGGCATCCATTCGGGCAAAGTCTTGCGTAAATCTGGTGCAAATTTCAAGTCGCTACTTGCAACAGTTGGGATCATGCGAATTTTTAAAAGCGACACCGCAGTTGACTGAAGACGCGAAATTTGAGACCCACCTTTTCCAAGCTTTCAAAAATTAACGTTTGGTGCGATTTTTGTGAAATTTCCAGCATTTTTAGAATCATGCTTGGGCTAAAGATCGTGAAATTTACAAGTCGCTGCCCGGTTTAGTTTAGCAGATGTTTATTTTTAAAGGAGAAAGCACAGTGGGGTGGGAAATTCGACATAAAATTCATCTTAGCGGCCACCAATGGATGCAGGCTTATGACAAATTAATAAAAATTACACCAACACATACAGAGTGCCCCAAAATTTTGGGCAAACAACCACACATTTTAGACGCTGATGACCTGCTGATGATGCTGATGCTGAAATTCCCCTTCGGTTTCAATCTAGTGATTGGGCCATGTACATGATAGAAGAGATCACCATCTCAAAACTCCATTAGTTTAGCCACAATCTGTGAATAACCTTGTAAAAACTTCACCTCCGAAGGTTAGACATTGGCGTCAAACATCAATGTCCTCGGCAAACCAACGAAAATTCTTAGTAAAACCTGCAAAACAACAAAATGTCTTTGGCCCAGTTCTCGCAGGAAAAGGCCCGGATTCTTCAGGACCAAACGCCCCTCAAACTGGACGGGCGCTTCCACATGGAGTCCCATTTAAGGCCATGCTTCGACGACAGTCCTCGGTTAGAGCTTCGGAAGCTTCAAGCCTCTGATCTGGTAGAACTGGGCGACGCCACTGAGTGGGGCTCTGTGGGCATGCGCCCAGTACGAAATGAAGAGATGCTGGCCTACGACCAATCGGAGGACAGCATTGAGCAAACAGTGGAAGAACCGCGTGAAGATGGAACGTATCGGAAGAGGCCAGATCCTAAATACCAAAGGGTGATGAAGAGCTTGAAGGCGTTCGAAAACACCGCTTTGGTCCTGGGGATTGCAAAGGCTCCCTCTAAACCCGTGTGGAGTAAATTTACTGCTACCCAAGCTGTGCCATGTGCAGTTCCCAAGGCAATTTCTCCAGGCCCCAGGGGCCTGGTGAAGGTGTTCAAACCTTGTGCCATCCAAGTGAATAAGTCCTGCTTGACGGTGGACAATATTGAAATTTCCCAACGCCGCGGCCCTCACACTGATGTCTTGAGGAATGGAAAAAGGAGTCGCAAGCCTAAAATCTGCGCCGTTGACTCCTTGGATCTCACTGATCCAAAAGCACTTCTGAGCAAGTTGGGGAGGAAGAAGGCCCTAAACATCCCTCCTGAGCTGCTTCGGGTCTACGACCTGTACGAAAACTCCAGAAAGTTGCCCGAAACTATCCAGGAAAACGACTGGCCTCCTCCAAAGCAAGCAGTGAAGAGATGGGGAAGCGCAGCCAAAGCTTCATCACTCCACCCCAAGTCTTCGATCAAATTATTCTTCTGCAATAATTGCCAGAAACTGAAGAAACCCCATGTGGGTGTTCTTCCAACTTCGAGCCCAGGATTTCCAACTAGTGAAAAGCATGGGGCTCCACAGCCCGACCCCAGTCTGGAGTATTTCTACCAAAGCCTTGTTCACTCCTTGAATAAATTGTCCAGAAAGTTGCCAATGGGGTGAAACTGCCGATGGTTTTATCAACGACTGCAGGCTGGAGGCCAGATTTCCAACGTCAAAGAAAACTCATTGATGTGGGAAACTATGGAAATTAGTTTCCTTAGTTGCTTATTCCAGAAACTAACTCAACTTGCCAACTCCATTTCGAAGCAGACAAATTCCTGGGATCAATCACCATCTTCCATTGACGCGATTAATTATCCAACAAAGCAGTTTCGGAAAGCTGGCAAATGGAAGTTTGGGGCGTTTGAGCGGTTGAAAAATGCACTCGAAAATTGATGGCAAACGCAGAGAGGGAATTACGTCGGTTTTTCACCTTGACACATTTCTGTCTGCTATCCAGGCTTATTTTTAACGATGATCGCCATTATTTATGCCTATTACGCCTTTGACACGGATATTATTTATAAAACTCGCCCGGCGTAAAATTAACTCACAACAACGGAAAATAGCTGCGGCATTTCGAACCCACATTCAATGCAAACGGGCTGAAAGCGCCCGAAATAACTGAGGGAATTGGGAGAACATCTGGACGCTTTTCACTGGTTTAGAACGAGAGTTTTCTATGCAACACTAGCAGGTTGTGGGGTGTTTTTCTAGTTTGAGCATTCATTTTATGGCCGA